ACGCACACGTGCAAGCGTTTATCGGGCCGATTTTAAACATGACAAAACGCTCGTGAAATCGAATGTCACGTATCAAAATGACGGTCAAAGCGTGCCTTTTACAGAGAGACAAAAGCGGTCGTAATTAATGCTTTTAAACGCGCGCGCTGTACTGCAGCAAGCTCCTTTTGTCAGTTGGACACATTGTGCCTGGACAAATGTTTACGAACGACCACAGAGTAGGCGGAGCGTGCACGGTGACAGTAGCTGGCGAGCCGCGGGGTTGAAACGCGCACAGTTTTCGTGCGGATTTTCACCGAACGCGACACATTCAATGGGGGTAAAGGCACGGTCCGATTTCACCCGCGAGGTTTAATTACTTAATTACGTTAACGCTCGATTTTCGTGACGTGCCGACGAGCCGCGCGCCGGCTAAACGATTCCGTTAGTTTCACAGCAATTTCGCGTCCGCCGATTTCTCTCTCTCTCTCTTCACTCTCGATTAAAGTATAACTGTTTTTCGTAAATTCATTTTGGTCGGCATTTCCTGTTGAAATCATAACTGAATGAATTCACTCAAATGAAAACGTATAATTTCCCTTTAAAAAAAAAAAAAAAAAAAAAAAACCATCTTAAAATCTCGGGAGCGCGTCAACTAAATAAAGAAAGTCTAAAAGTTGATAAATGACAAATATTTTTAGATAAATATAGATAAAAAGATAAATTAACAATCGTACGTAAATGTACCCCTTTGTAAGAATTTTTTCTGGACACAACAACGCAGTAGATACTACGGATACTTCTGGACTAAACTTGAAATTATCATTTCGCAAAAGTTACATCTATTGTTCCTGCATTGTTTGAAACTACATCTCAGGACACGGAAGCTGGCCAATTTGAGTTTCCCACTTGGATTTGTTACGTTGCGTCGCGACAATGGCCAGATTATGTTCGGATATCACGTTGGCGGGTCAAATGCTCACATAACTGGAATTACATTGGTATTATCGAAAATACTATCGTATCTTTTTAACCTTGAAATCAGAATTTTGAAAACGATCATTCGTCATTTACAATTGATGATGATTCAATTAGACGATTTAATTAGAAATTCTCCAAATTTTTAATTGAAAATGCCAAATAGATTCTGAAGCATTCTGAAAATGAAAGAGAGAAAAAAAAAAAGGAATAGAAAAGAAACGTAATAAAGGATATAACGTATCCTTAAAATGCGAAAGGTATTCCGAGGAAATTTTAAGAGATAAACTTGGTAAGGAAAGGTAACGTTTTATAAAAGCATCTCTGTTCCACGGATGATACGGGAATTCCTCGAATGCGCTGTTCACGCGATATTTTAATACTTTTGTAGCTTGTCGTTCGTGCAAGTAAATCATCGCTGTGATAAGCTCTTTCAGGAATCTGACCCTCGCAAAACATCCGCCGGTTATAAGAAATGTTTCCCAAGTTTATAAGGTGATGCGAAGGTTCGTCGTCGAAATGGATCGAGCGTCTTTTCACCCCTTGCTTTTTAAGTAATAAAACCGACCAGGGGGCTGCGAAAGGCATCGTAAAATTTACAGTAAAAATACTGCAACGAAATAATGCAGCGAAAAATCCTTACTGAGGATATTTCTTCGTCCTTAGTGTTACGTGAGATAATTCCCGAGGGAAAGAAGAAGACTTCCATCTGAGCAATGGCAATGAAATTCTAATAAAATTTAGATTTCACCTGAAACGTGTAACAACCTGACAAAAGCGAAACTATCCTTAAAATTCTCGAAAGACAGTGTAAAGCTGCGATTGCCAGGCGTATCCGATGATGTTTATTGGAAAAAGCGTTCAATTATTATGGACAGTGGCGGGTTTTCGGTGCAGCAAGCACGGCACCAGAATCGAGTGGAATCTAGCTGAGAAGCCGGGCCCGGTAGACGTCGAACGAGTAGGATTATTCGCCGGTGGATCGGGAGTTGGAGCCAGGACACTGGGGTCGGGGCCGGGGCCGGGGAACAATGTCGGAAACGACGAGGACGGTATGCCGAGATATGCAGGATATCGCGCAGAACTGCGATCCTTCGAGGTCGGGAGCAGAGGCACACGGTTATAGAGCGGTGTGTTCGAGTAAAGCTAGATACATATCCTCCGTTGTACCACCACTACTACTACTACTATTATCACTACTACCACCACCACTACCACCACCACCACCACCACCACCACCACCACCACCACCA